GTTGGTCACCAGGTTTGCACACATCTCAGGAGGGATTTTGGTCCACTCCTCTTTACAGAACCTCTCTAAATCCTTAAGTTTTCTTGGCTGTCGTCGTTTGGCAACTCGAAGTTTCAGCTCCCTCCACAGATTTTCTATAGGATTGAGGTCTGAAGACTGGCTAGGCCACTCCATGAGCTTAATGTGCTTCTTCTTCTTGAGCCACTCCTTTGTTGCCTTGGCGGTATGTTTCGGGTCATTGTCATGCTGGAAGACCCATCCATGACCCATCTTCAGTGTACTGGATGGAAACGCCAAGATGCGCATAAATTCTAAAAAATGCGCATAAACTTTTGAGTAGGATACACTTTTTATACGATAAGAAAAAATGTGCATAAACTACGATGGAAACACATTTACCTTTGTAAGTGGGCAAACTTACAAAATCAGCAGGGGATCAAATAAATATGTTCCCCACTGTATATTTTAGATGCAGAAATTTTTGCATACTGTATGTAAGTCCATTTTCACCTGTATATTATTTCCTTTTGCTTCCTCAAAGTGCTCCGACATGAAGATGTTGAAAACGCTCCTAGGGCGTTTGGGCTTTCCAAGACTGTTCAGCTCCTGCAATTGAAGTACAATATTCCTTTACTAAAAAGTTAATCAAAATACTTAAAGGCAGGGTATGTGATTTTTCAAAAACACTTTAGAAAACTGATTCGGGCCGAATAGCAAAACAAACTTGTAGCCAATCATAAAATAATATTTTGTCAGTGTAAAGATTCTTATTGGGTTATTAGAGTAGTTACATGATGAAAGGCAAAACTCACCTTCTTTCTCCTAATTGCTTTTCGTTTGGCCACTTTTTGTCGTTTTTCTATTGCAAGAGCAGCAGTCTGTGCAGGAGTCAGTTGGGCTTTGTATTTCTCCACCGCAAGCTTATAGTGCTCCTTGGATGTCAAAGATGCATCCTGAAATGGCTGCAAAATGAGATATAGCTTAAATTAGTGGCTGACTAAGAATTTTTTTTTTAATGGCCAATGATATATTATTTATATTGAGTGTTATATCTAAAAATAAATAGCATATATATATATATATAGTTTACAGTATTAATAGACAGATTTTTTCCTTAAGAAAAATTAACACTTTCTGTACCTGATTTATAACCAAATTTAATTGAATATATCCATGAAATATATACAGCCCTAGGTAAAAACGCCCCATAAATCAATTCCATTCTGTTAAATACTGGCTCTTAACTTTAAATTTTTCACATTGTTATTTTGTTGCCTTATGTTAAACTACTTTAAAATTATTTTTCACATCAGTCTACACTCCATACAAAAAAAAACAAAAAACAGATTTGTGAACTTTGCAAAAAAAAAAAAAATATATATATATATTTGCAACTTTGAAAATAATTTGCAAAAAAATTACATTGCATAAGTATTCATACCCTTTTCTGGGACACTTTCTGGGAAATTTAACTCAGGATCATTCTGATATCACTTGTAGATGTTACTACACTTCAAGTGGAGTTCATCTGTGGCAAATTCAATTCAATGGATATGATTTGGAAAGGCACACACCCCTCAATAAAAGGTCTAACAGCTGAAAATGCACATCAGAGTAAAAACCAAGCCCTGTGGTCAAAAGAACTGCCTGTAGAGCTCAGAGACAGGATTTGTCAAGACACAGATTTGGGAAAGTAATGCTGCTGCATTGAAGGTTCACAGAAGCATGTAGCCTCCATTATCCTTAATGAAACAACCAAGACTCTTCCTAGAGCTGGCCTCCTGGCCAAACTGAGCAATTGATGGAGAAGGGCCTTGGTTAGAGTGGTGACCAAGAAGCTGATTCTCCATGATCATATATGGAGATGGGAGAAAGTTACAGAAGGACAAACATCACTGCAACACTCCACCGAGCTGGGTTTTATGGCAGTGTGGCAACACTCAGTGAAGACACATGAAAGTCCGCTTGGAATTGCAAAATTGCAAAAAAAACACCTAAAGGGCTCTCAGACTGTGAGAAACAAGATTCTCTGGTCTGATGAACCTCAGTTCCAAGCATAGAGGAAAGCAGGCACTGCTCATCAGCTACACAGTACCGGTAAGCTGTACCACAGTAAACTGTGGGAGTGTTTTTCAGTGGCAGGGACTGAGGGACTCGTCAGAGTAAAAGGAAACTCAATGCACTAAAATATAGAGATAGCCTTAATGAAAACCCAGTCCAGAGCATTCAGAACCACGGACTGGGCAGAAGGTTCCCCTCCCAACAGGACAATGACCACAAGCACACAGCAAAAGCGGCTTAAGGGCAACTCTGTGAATGCCCTTGAGTGGCCCAGCCAGAGCCTGGGCTTGAACCCAATCGAACATTTCTGGAGAAACCTGAAAGTGTCTGCAGGCCCCCCATCCAACCTGACAGAGCTTGAGAGGTGAAGAGGTGAGGAGAAGAATGGCAGATAATTGCCAAATTCAGATGTGCAAAGCTTGTCGCATCATACCTCAAAAAGACTTGAGGCTGTAAAGATGCTTCAGCTAATTACTACTAGTTATAATTACTAATTATTACTAGTTAATACTATGCAATTATGGTATATGGTGCATGTAAGTATTGATGTAAAAAAAATTAGGTTAACAAGACAGCAACATAAAATGTGGGAAAAAAAACTTTTTGCAAGGCACTATATCTATCTATCTATCTATACACACACACACACACACATATATACATATACTGTATATATATATATATATATATATAACAATTTACAGTAATGGAGATGAACACATTTCATTTAAGCTGAAATTTTGCACAATATTTCCTCAAAATACAGTAAAAAAAAAAAATGAACACACATATGACGCAAGAATGTACCTGCTTCTGTTCAGGAGTCAGCATTTTCCACTGCTGTGCTAACTTTCGGACAATATCCACATTTTTGACTCCTGAACAACACAGATTGTTCATTATCTTATTTCAAAACAAATCAGAAATGCAAGGTAGCCTTGCGACTAAAGTGGATACAGTAGTAACCCAGAAATATTCCAAAATACCTGGATTTTGTCTGTTAATGGTGGGATGCATCTCTTTCACATATGTCATGTATGCTGTCAGGGGTCTCTTAGGTGGACCCCCGGTTGTGGTGCTAAACCTCTTTAACACTGGAGCTACACATGAACACCTACAATGGCAAAGTACTGTCACTGATGTTATATTATTATTATTTTGGTAAAACAGCACAAAACGCTTCTTACACTTTACAAAAAAGTTAACTAACGTTATAACTTTAGCTATTGAGCTAGTGCAGCGTTGTCACTACATCTTACATTAACTAATATGTATGGCTGTTCAAATGTGAAAACATGAATGTCTCTATTGTAGCTGCATTTAAATATAATCCATTATATATGGTGTATTAACTAATAAACAAGTCATGCATCAATAACCTTAAACTTGAAGCATGCTCACCTCACAACAGATGCAGTCGAGAACAGACCCAGAGACTTCACCAGAAGATTAACACCGACTGACATCAAGCTGAACGGAGCCATCATACACGTGCTATGATCTTCCCAATAATATTAATCAAATATTTAATATGCACGGTGAGAACAAGATACACACAGGCTGTCTTGAAATGAATGTTATGGTTGTGAATTACAGTTCCACCTCCACAAGTAAAGGCGCCATTCCATCTGCCATCTGAGCGAAGTGCATTATGGGAGAATTATTCGTTTAAAATTTCATTGAAGTACTTGCACTAAATGAACATTTGTGAAATAGCTAGATTTACCAAATTATTTTAAAATTTTTAAATACCAAATTAATTAGTTTTGTAGGAAGCACTGTGTTATTGTGCTAATAACCCTAAAAATATTTTAACCCTTTGAAGCCTGACAAATAAAATAAAAGTTAGGGGAAAAAAGACCCAAACTAAACCAAAATATGCTGCTGCTGTTATTTATATGGTCAAAAAGTAAGACATTCTGATAGATCAATGAGATTTTTATAACGGTATTGCAGATTACTTACATAAAATGCATATAAATATCAGCTGCACGCTATATAATTTTAATAGAATTTAATTGTTTATAATGCAATGATGATTGAGAGATGTACAAACAAAAACATTCATCGAAAGCCTGATGTGTCATATCTGATACTTACATGATATGATTTTTCTTAATGAAAAGTAGATACATAATCAAGTAAATCTAAGTTGCTTCAATCCACCAATGAAGCTAAAATATTATTAACAATATGAAAGTATTCTTACGTTAATACTTAATAATATTGAATATTTCACATTAGAAAAAAATACTTTAAACCAATGGGGAACGCAGTGGGTTATTTAAAAGCGTATCATGTCATCGCTAAGTTTTGTTCAGTGCTAAGGACTTTTCTTTTCTTTTTCTAGGTTTATTATTATTATTATTGTTGTTGTTGCTGCTTTTGTTGTTGTTGATACCCCTTTCCCTTTTCGTTTCCTCTGTGTATTTTGTTTGCGTTGACTTATTCTCTGTATCTTTAATTTACGTAATTTACGCATTTTGGGAATATTGTAAACTGCCAAAGTTCGTGCACATATTTTCAGCGTCTTTCTTTGAGCTTCTCTGGGGGTGCAATAATACATGAGGACTTTTATTTTGTTTCCCCCAGCTCCGCACCGGAAGTGTGAGCTTGCTGAGTTACAGCTGTCTCTCTTTCTCGCCGCTCACATTTGTTTTTTTACTCAGGGAAACCCAGTATCGCTGAGCTGTTTCGTAGCAATAATATCGGACAGATAATATAATCGCGTAAATCTGGGGCGGTACACACAGTAAAGCAGCATGGCATTAAAGAGAATACAGAAGGTAAGACCTTGGTGCGTAAATGACCAACATTAGCCAAGTTTTTGTTAACCTGCTAGCGCTGTTTATGTCGATAAAACATAGCATTTTTGTATCAAACTAATAAAATATCATTTATTTTTGTTTTGCGTTGGTAGTCTGTATCAAGTCAAACTGTTTCGGAATAATGTAGATCTAAAATGTCGACGGAATGTAGCATATAACAGCTAGCTAGCAGTGTCTCCTCACTTGATCATGACGCTTTTTCACTGTTGACTGTCTGCTTGAGGTAATACAAATACATATGGATTTTCCTTTACTGTCAATTAAGTTGGTAAACCAAAGCATAATACGACGCGTCAAGGTTGTCAGTCATCCATCGTATTGTGTGTGCTAGCAACGATACATTTATACACGTAAAAACCAAACAAATAATGAGTAAATGAGTAATTTGTTTACATCTCCACGTATAGTTTATTAATTTCCTCACCGAGGAAATGAACTGAAAAGATGTATCATTTTAATAATAAACCTGTTATGTGGTCTATTCCTCCGTGTTCGAGAAGGCCCAGAACTGAACAAAGACCGCAAACCTGCTCCAGCTTCGGCAGCAGCCGCACTGAACGAGGCCGATCTTTGTGTGGATTCATCCACTTTCACAAGCCACTTTTGTGTGCTTTGTTAAACCTCACAGCTGATGTGACATTTCGAGGGACTTTGGCTACAATTGATTTGGTGTAGTTTATCTGTATATGGTCGGTAGGCGCTATTGTGTTTGTCGTGTTGTGTGTTTGACACAAAGCAGCACAACCTGATTCTCTGAAGTTCCAGCATGACGCCATCACTTTGTCATTTTGACAGTTTCTGTTTCGCAACACTGCGATGTGTATCGCACTCCAGCAGTGTTGTTAAACACCCTTTAAGGTCCCAGAGTCCTTGCCAGAAGGCACATAATCAGATTATCTACGTTTATTAAAATGCGTTTATGTTCAGAATAATTATGTATAATTATATATTTTGTCTTCTAAATTAATATTTATATTATTATTGCATATTGTTTGTATTAAAATCTTAACTCTGTAAAACCTAGCATGTGGAATAATAGTCAGAAAGTTTATTATTTTATTAAACAGTTGATTGAACCTTTAGATGATTTCTTTTTTTTTTTCCTTTATAGCATTAAAAATACATTTTAAAATGCTGTTGTGTATATGGACAAGTAAGATGAAGTTCTCTTAATGTAACTCTTATATACCAGTTGCATAAAATGCATATAAATATCATATGTCACTATATCTCCCATTAATGTCTTAAGATGTTTTTTTTTTTTTATGCTTTTATGATCAAAGCTCGGTAGTTTTCATTATCGGGGCAAAACATATAATGCAATACAATTATACAGTGATGGCTGAGAGATATGAGGGACAAAGACGAAAAGGAGTTTTCAAGCATCAAAACAATATAAGTTTAAAGGGGTCATATGATGCGATTTCAAGTTTTCCTTTCTCTTTGGAGTGTTACAAGCTGATTGTGCATAGATAAGATCCCTGAAGTTGCAAAGACTAAAGTCTCAAAACCAAAGAGATATTCTTTATCAAAGTTAAGACTCTGCCACGCCCTCCTAAAACGGCTCGTTCTAACACGCCCCCACATATCTACCTCACTATGTGGAAATATTTGCATAATGCACCCAAATGTGCACGCAAAGTAAGACGACGTGGTTTCAGTAACCGTGTGTGTGTGTGTGTGAGAGAGAGAGAGAGAGAGAGAGAGACAGACCCCTTTAATACTTTTTTTATTTGTTTGTTTTCCCTGTGCATTAAAATATATATTGTAAAGATGACTCACACATTTTTAGCATGATTTACAGAAGACACCCACTAAAATGTCATTCAGTGGAATAATAGTTTGTATACCAAAAAATCTTGTCAGGCATATTTAGCACAAGAATCATTATTAGATGAAGACTCTGTTTAAGGATCATGGTTCTGCCCCAAAAATAATTAATTGTAATTTTAATCTTTACCAATTCCTTTAAACCACTAGGTTTTACCGATTTGTCAGTAAAAAATGTTTTTTTTTTTAATCATTTAAAATATAGTAAAATTTGATCACTTTTTTCTTTTATATATTTTAATAAGTACAGGTCGGAATAAATATGTTGTTTAATTTTTACATAAATATATCTGTTACACTGAATGGCAACAGAACATTATTTAACCCATATTTTGACATTTTATTTTCATAAAAGTTATTCGAAACATTAAAGTAGACACTTAAATGCACAATATGTGTCATTTTCGCCGCTGGGGGGCGCGTATTCAAAATAAACAAAGAAGCAAAGGCGTAGTTTGATGACGCCGTGACTGAGTGTGGAATCATGGGAGTTGTCGTCTTCATCCCCACAGCTGATGCAATTCGACGGGACTCGGGCAGAAATCATGTTCATGGATGAGCTAATGATTTATTAACGTAGTAGAATGAAGCAGAGTGAGGCTGAAGCCGTCGAAGCGAAACGAGGCTGCTGAACGAGCGCGACACGCGGCTCGAAAGCATCGAAGCTTTTATTATGCCACAGTCGACCGCTTCCGCTCCTTCTGGTTGTTTAAGTTGCATTTAATGTTTTCTATGTATATAGAAATCACTTTTGTAAATTTAATTTGATGCAGACACCAAAATGAGATGGGACATTTCGTCTCTGACCCATGAAGAAATAAACAGTCCTCAAAAGCCTGATGTATCATAATTGATTCATTTTAACATATTTTTTTTTTCTAAAAAATAATATATGAATAATCAAGTAAACCTAAGATGCATCAGTCCAGTAAGAATATAACAAGCTGTTATTGGTTACTTCATTAAAATCATTGAAGATTTCACAGCCCAAAAAAAAAAACGTAAGGTTGGCTTTTTTATAATTATACTAAAAAGTATTTTACTTGCTAAGAAAGTATAAACTATCAGTCAGACGACAGAAGGCACTAGTGTTGGGCGATATGCTCAATTTTCATATCGTCCTATCGTCAGCCTGTGAGATCGCCGATACATGATATTATCGTGCTAATTTATGTAATTATTTACATAGTTTCATTGCGGGAAAGTGAACTAACTCCAGCTTAAGGCTAAAAGCAGCCTAATGTTTTTAATATGACTGAATTTGTATTTAACATGATAACAAATTAATAGAAACATACTTTAAAAACACTCCCGTTAAAATCAGTGAATATACACTGTATGATGAATAAATCTCTTATAGTTACATCGCACGTAGATCTGCACTTTATTTATGATGAGAGAATTCGCGAGTCAGAATTCAGTCAGCGCGCGCTGAACAACGGAACTCCGCTGTTTCTATGATGGCTCATCTGAACGCCTTTGATTGGCCATTGCATTCATAAGCTCAGCATAATCGTGTGTGATTGGTTAAAACGCGCAATACTGTAAAAACGTGGAAAAAGAAATATAATGCAACCAATAAGCCCTAATATTAATTAGATAGTATTACCAGCCTGATAATAATAATAATAATCGTCTTGCTATCGTCAAAGGCATCAGCCACAGGCAATATCTCTGACTATCGTCGATACACGATACTATCGTCTATCGGCACAACCCTAGAAGGCACGTAGTAGATTTTTCAGCAAAAAGTTTTGTTCATGTTGATTTAGATGCCTTAGAAATTCACATATCAAATGTGATACTGTATGCTTTATAATGTTAATAAACTAAATTATATAATTTGTTCAAAGCACTTTTAATTAGGGCTGTGTATCGGCAAGAATCTGGCGATACGATACGTATAACGATACAGGGGTTGCGATACAGTATGTTGCGATATATTGCGATACTTTAAGCAAGACGATATATTGGGATATTTC